TGAAGCACAGCATTCTAGGAGCACACTGCTGCTTTTGTTTGCCAGTATCCTATTCATATCATCTAAGTAAGCACTTTACATACTTCAGCCTCCAGTTTCAAATGTTTAAGTTTTTATGTATTTATATTACTGCGTTAAATATAGTTTGTGCTTCTCGTTAAACTCGGGTACTCTTGGAAGATTATTTTAACAGTTGCATTAAAGGACAGGGTTTTGTGTTTTTTTTTTTCACAAGTTTGCAATAAATTAGTTTTAATTTGAATAATAGCTCCATAGGTTATAGCACTAGTCCTTAAGTGTTAATTATCTTTTCACTCTGAAATTAATGTACTCATTTCCTACTGACTCCTCTACACCATTATTGAAGTGCTGAGGAAAACATGTCATTGAGTTCTGAGCCAGAACTGTTGTTGTGATTAATCCTGGTCACATGGCCAATCTCTGCCAAAAGATCACTGAAAAAAGGTGACAAAGACAGTGATTTCCTGTCAGCAAAGAGTACGACAGGGCTGTCTAGAAGTGATGCAAATGAGGGAAACTTTCAGCACGGTTTGTTTGATCCACTCCGGGCCACAGCGCACTGAGCCAGAGAGAAAGGCACAATGGAGCAGCAGCACACCCAGAGGAGAAAAGGAACTGCACCTTCCGAGGAGGGATAGCTTCCAGTAGGGAAACAAAAACTGCTGGGAGATTTTTTTCCCCTCAACTTTTTTTGAAAGGTATCCTTAGCTTTTGATGTGCATTTTCCTGTTATTTAATACAGTGCACTGCTTCCCTTTGATGAAAGAGGTTAGCAGTTAGCCCGTTCAAAAGCCGTGTCAACTAAATGTTTTCAAAATCTTTGCACTACTACATAAGGGTCGTTTTCCATCTATCATGAACATCGTTGCTGAAGACTTACTAGTGCAAGACTTACGGCTTATGCAGTTTGTAGTACAACCACCATACGTTACTTATAATCAGACAGAAAAATATAATTTCTTTTATTTGATATTTATTTTTTATTCTTTTATTTTCAGTTAATTTTATTCTGAACATGCTAACAATTTTAACAATCATACTGTACTTACTTAAATGGGGTTTTAATCTAACACAATTAAGTTTTGCAATTAATCTCCTGAGGAAAATGGAAGAATTATCATTAACTTTTCTGCCTAGTATACTCATTTCTAACCTCCACAGTTCCAGTAAATACTGATTTGCTTCATTTTTGAACATTCAAGGTAGAGAATTACTCAAGTTCCCACTAAAGGGCTAATTAGCAGAGTTTAAATTCTTTGGGTTTGATCCTCCAGTAACAGCATATGAATAAAGCTGAAGTCAATGCAAGTTCTGTGTACTTAGAGCTTATGAGATCAGGCTCACATGCAGTAGATTAAAATGAAATAAACATGATACATTTGGCATTACACTGAGCTATTACAGCAGTACAAGGAAGTGAGAGTCCAAAAACATGGAAATGTTCCTTTTAATTTTTTCTTAGTTAATAGATAAGGCATTAGAGGACAAATAAACTGTCAGCAATTCATTCCGTGACTGCCATTTTATCAAACACTAGTTGATTTTCAAAATCATTAGCTCGTTTAAGACTGAAAAGCTGAAATCATGTAGGGCTATGGGGGAGCATAGTGAGGATGAGTAGTTTTCTCTTTTGGTAAATCTTTGCACTAAAATCTAGGAATTCTAAAGGAAGTCATACATACATATTTAGAGTAAAAAAAAAATATGGCTGTGCTGCTCCTATTATATTAAGGGCAAAATAAAACCTAGTTAAAGAGAGATAATAAGGATCCTAATAAAAAACTATGAAGCTCCTGGAATATTACAAAACAAATTAAGCTGAGAGTTGACTTAAATCTATATTAAACCTGAAAATAGAGTACTGGGAAAATAGTCTAACCATGAAAATACATTTTATTTTCCCATATCCAATTTTAGCATTTATATATTATGTTATGCTGCTTTAATGTATGCTTTTCCCTTCCGATTTACCTGTTTTACCATTGCTCCTTCCCATACATAGACTCCTTAGGGGCAATGATTACTTTTGGTAACAGTGATACCACAGCAGGTTCCCTGGCAGAGGTGGCTTGCTGAGCTGGCTCAGAGGTGCAATTACTTGTCAGCTCAATAACTGAGAAGAGGGATCTGTGGGTTTAGGAAAATCCACCAAAACGCAGAGAGTGCAATTAGCAGGTTCACATTTGAAGCTGTAACTGATAAAGGATGACTGAAGCAAGAATGCTGTTTTCATAACTCCCCACATCATTGAAGAATCCTGACAATAATAGTTGCCTGAATTTCTCTTTGCAAATTTCTT